AAATGAGTAATCTTTAGTATCTTAATCCAATGATGAAAATTGCAAGTGCATTCAGGTACAAGATATGCATGCTATTATTCAATAGAATTATTGGATAATTACGGGCGCAAATTAAGTTAAACAAATTGAATTATACAAATTAAATAAACTATGAATAATATGCTTTGCTGTTAGAAACTAATGCTAGTATTGAAATTTTTCCACGATTTTACGTGCTTTGCCTGTAGAAATAGTAACGTAATTATAACTTCGATCGCATCATTCGATAGAATTTTATAAATCCTATTTTTGCATAACAAGTACCTACATAGAAATAAGCTGGGTATCTAGTAATAAATCAGCTCTTGAAAAAAAGAAAATGTTTCACGATTAATCGTGAAAAGCTATAATATAAATAATTACGAATGCAAGAAAAAGAACAACTAGGAGCAACATCGACACAATTGTAGTCAATGTTTCGACAAATTACTATTGTTTTAACTAATAGGCAGTTTAGAGCAATTTCCCAAAATTGTTATACCTGTACATGAAATCATTTACAATATTAATATAATTTTAAAATACATATAGGAATGAAAAAATTAATATGGCTCGTTAATTAAGTATTACAAAAAAAAGTAATAAATGTTTTTTTATAGGCCGAAAAATATTAAAAGTTTCTAATTATTTATCATTTTGATAAAAATGCAATTCACTCTAATTTAATTACTTCAAAACGTAAAATTTTGTATAACATCACGTAATGTAATGCATTTTTTAATAATCATATTTTGTTTATTTGTAGAAAAAATAATTTATTCGTAGCTACTGCATTAAATGCGTAATGAAATCTATAAGATTATCATTTCGTATTTATTCTGACTCAAGGTAATGGTTCGTTATAACACACTGATAACGTATTCGATCAAAAATTCCGATGTAATCTATTAATTCATACTTTGGTCGTTCGTAAATATGATTGCACTAAATAAGAAAGATTAAAAAATATACTATTTTCTACCATTTGTTGAATAAGTTATCGAGTTACTTTTTCTCTGCTAGAAAAGTACTTGCAAGTGTGTGTGTGTGTGTGTGTGTGTGTGTGTGTGCGCGCGCGCGCGCGCTTGTGTATGTATGTGTTGTTTCTTTTTTTACTTTTGTAAGTATCCTATACCAGTGTTGTAGAATACTTTAATTCAAAATTTCCTTATACAAGAAGCAAATCGTAATATATAAAAACCTAGTTGATTGTGATCAAATAAACGGATTTCGAAATGATTTCATGATCGTAAAAATAGGCTCTGGACATTATACTTTTACATCGAAATATGACAGTATTTTTCTCTTATACCTTACGATTTGATTAGTTTCGTTATTTGTAAATAAACATATTTGGAAGTTCACTGAAGAAGTGCAGAAATATCCCAAATCTTAATAAGACGATCTTGACCAATAGTTAGTAATCTTCGTCTAGGAGCATCAAGATCCATTCCAACAACATTATGCTTTGCGTCGTGGAACGACGCTAAAGATGTTTGGCTACATAATACATACGTAATATGAAAAAATATTCAGTCACTTTGTTTTATCTTGTAATGAGATTAATTCTACTACATCTACTTACTTTGCAGCTTTAAGTTGAATATGACATTGATCACACACTCTAACTTCAAATTCAAAACCCATTGCTGGTATTGGTATTCGTTTCGACGTACATCGTGCACATAATGCACGACCACAATGACGGCAATGGTGTTGCCTCAAACCTAATTGTCGTTGATCCATCATAACTTTAATATTCCAAAAAAATGGTCTTCCACAAGCCTAAATTTAGCACAATATTTATATATACATATACACCCCCACACACACACACACACATACATACACACGCGCGCGCGCGCGCGCGCGCACAACAATGAAACATTGTTGCTTTATGCAAAATAATTAGTTGTTATTTCATAATTACACACTTGGCATGTATCAGATTCTACCCATGTTGCAGTCTCTTTTCTATATGCAGCCATATCCCAACACACTATTACACCATCTTCTCCTCCAGATAATAATACGCGTTCTGCACTTGCATAACATAGTGCAGTTACTTTGTTGCTATAAAATTATATGCAAAGCTGTAGAATGAAAATTCATTTGGGAAGAAGTTCATAGTAGGCTGAGCAACTTACTGATGTCCTTGTAGTTCATATGCTGTTCCCTGCCGGCCACCAATATCCCATACTACAATACTTTGATCAAAACTTCCAGAAAATAAAAGTTGCTTCTCTGAATCCCATGCTAATGTATGAATGCTTCCTGTATGTGCTTTTAATGTAGTAATTAATGTGACACCGTTAGTATCTAATTTCAACATGGCTATTTGTCCAGAATAATCACCAACGAAAGCATGTTTCGATTGTGCATCAAATCTGAGCAAGTTAAGGAAATTTGTTTAACTTTAAATAAAATTTAAATGAAATATATATTTTGAACGAATGAAAAATCTGTAAGAAATTATTTTTCACAAAAAGGATACTGCAAAGCAGTGTACCATGCATCTGTTTGATATGATCCTAACTTTTGTCCTGTTTCTGAACAATGTAACTGAAACATTTTGTCTCGACCTATGCTTAAAATCCATTCGCAATTTGGGGCAAATATAATACCAGTAACCCTTGCTTGGTGCGCAGTATATTCACGCATAGCAATCATTATATTATAGTCATGCTTTAATATGAATTCCTAAAAATAATACCTAATATATACATCCTAGAATAAAGAAAATACTAACAGTATTCTAAAAGAAATGATTTCAATACACACATTTATAATTCCATTTTCCAGACCAACAAATAACTGTTTAGTCTCTGGGCAAAAATGCATTGAAGTTGCACCAGCAGACATATATTGACAGACACTTGGCCAATATTGGCCAGAATCCCGTTTCAACCAAACTCTAACAGACCTGTAAGAGATATTCCTTCAAAGTAAGAATTGTTAAACAAAAAAAAATGGTTATGGGATAGTAATGATTTAAAAACTGTATTTTATTATTAAAGCAATATATAACACTTATCTACCTGTCATCGCAAACACTAATTACACCATCTTCCCGCGGTATAATAATAGCCGCATTAACATCATCATTGCATCCTTCTAATTTTGATAAAAGTATAGGTTTTCGGCTTGTGCTGAATTTATCGTGATTTACTCCCGGTGCGGGCTTTATCTCTGCTGCCATTTCAATATCTGAAACGTAGTATTTAAAGCAGATTTGTCATTTGACAGTTGTCAGACTTCAATGTTAATCAGAGTGTATATACGTTATGAAGACGGAAAGCTAAATTTTTTAAGAGATTGTGGAGAACCTATCGGCGCTACTTGTATTATTTGTCGCAAATTTTTCTTCACTTCCTTTCCGAGTTCCTCTTTATCGACTGTTACAACCTTAACGAAAGATTTACTTGTGTGCATTAATAGAAATGTATGCACACACAGGTCACGTTAAGTAAACAAAGAATAGTGTCCAATTGTTCTCATCAATAGTACCATTATCTATGGGAAAACTTTGTTACTTCGGAGATATAACAAAATAATTGTTTTCTGTTTAGTATCCCTTTTGTTATATAATTGTGTCACCAACCAATAATTTTCAATTGTTTTTATATAAATATCTTCAAATCGTTTTCATGAAATTATGCTTATTCACACGAAACTCTTATCAATATTTATTAACTTTTATCGTTCTTAAACGTTATTCCACAAATATGATACGAGTATAAATTTAATACCTTGCAGAACACTAAGGTATATATACGCGTACTGAAAACATCAATTTTGAAAAAGAATCCGAGGTTTTGTTACGCCCTCTACAATTTACAGCCATAAGTTTAAGAATTATAATTATTTTCCGCAACCGATAAAGCAGATGTAAATGTAAAAATGATATAAAATAAATAAAAATAATTATTATAATTTTAGGAAATAAAACTACCAATGTCGTTATTAAGTAGTTAATAAATAAAAAAAACTTTTATTAAATAATTATTAAAAAGCAGTATAATTTTACAATCAAGTTACAATCAAATTGGTGAAATATTTTTTGATGACCGAAGGACTTGCACTCTCCTTGTCAGTATTCGAGCTGTTAACGATGAGAATATTCTGTTATTATAATGTAGAAAAATTATTATATTTTATTTTTCAAACTATAGATAAAATAACGTGTTTAATTATTTAAAAAAAAAAAAAGAAAAGAAGAAAAAATTAGTATAAAACGATAAGTAAGTCTATATTTTTAATACTTTGCGTTTATATTTTTCATATTAGGATAATGATTTACACTGTAAATAAAAATTCCAAAAGAATGGTTATCATGTGATCTTTAGAAAATCAGAACAGTTAAAAATGTCACAAAGGTATTAAGAAATTTCTAAATCCATAAAATTATGTGATGCAAAATGATATACATATCGAGTGTAAAATCTATGTGATCTTTTATCTGTGGTTGTTCATATTTTACGAAAGATGGAGCACTACGGAGAAGATGATTGAATGAAAATGTATAACAAATGTTAAGAAGTAGCCAGTTATCTGTTAAAATTTGTGGAATCATGGGACATATCTTCATTATTTAAATTTCTTATTATCGATTATACTTGAGAGTATAATATACTCTCTGTCTTTTATTTAGTAAGATCAGTATGTCAGGAACAAAGGTAATAAACAAAGGAAGAGAGTAATTAAATGTTTTCTAGAAAATAGATGAAAGGGTATGAAAGTAATAGCTAATTTTCAATGATATTAGGATGATATCAATAAAGATGATAATCTAAAGAGACAAGGTTCATTCAGGAAATTATTGCCTGTGAACACAAATGGAGATTCACAATTGAGTATGTCGGTGAAAATGATTGACAGGCCAACTGTATCACAAACAAATAAAGAATATGCAATTTATTTACAGGAGTACAATATATTATCAGAATAGTAAGTTAATTTTGTAAATATATATCACAATACAAATATCTGGAGCGAATAAATATCTGCCGTTTATTTCTTTCTTGAAACAGCAACATGTTATGTTCACAAGATCTAAAGGGTGTTTATGTCATACCATCTGCTCAAAGTTCCTTGTGTAAGTAATATAAATAACCAAAGATTAATTTTTCTTTTCGATGCATCTTATGAATGAGAAAAATTGCATTCAAGTTATTGAAGTCAAACATAAATTGATTCTTAGGTCTTGCTTATCCTGACTTGGTCTTATATAATGGTTTACATGTAAATATGTGCATGATTTATTGTTTGCCACATTTCCTTATACACATGTTTTCAATGGACATTTATTAAGTTATAATCAATTTATTTTTGTGATAGTATGGTTTGGTGTACAATTTGTCCGGCAAGGTATATATCAAGGTGGAATTTTCAGATTTAATATTACGCTACCACAAAATTTTCCAGATGGATCATGCCCTGTAAGATTTTATTTCCTGATGTGTAATATTTTAATTATGAAACATTTTAATTATATTTCTAAAATTGTAATTGTATTTTGAACAAATTATAGAAAGTCATATTTCAAACTCCAGTTTTTCATCCTTTGATTGATCCTGAAACTGGAGAGCTTTATACATCGTGGGGTTTTCCAGAATGGAGAAAAAGTAATAGAATTTGGCAACTGATACAATTTATAACCAAAATCCTCACGAAAGTAGATACTAAAATGAATTCTGTAAATCACGAAGCATCTAATTTGTAAGTATCCGAAAACAAGTATTTAATCATTGTGTGTTATATTTATAAATCAATATTTATTTCGTGTACATATTATATTTATTTTACAGATTAGAAAACAATTTCGAGCTATTTCGAGATCGTGTAAAAAAATGTGTGAGAGAAAGTTTAAACAATGTTTATAGTTTACCCACTGTGGATGATCCTCACTATATTACTTTTAGTCCATATGTTAATGAGCTTCACAACCCCGTTAAGAGAGAAATTTATGAGCCCAAGGTATAAAAACATACAAGTAAATGTTATTTAAGCATTGAAGAAACTTGAATGTTATACTTGTTAGTGCTTGATATTGCTTCCTAGTGCAAGCTTGGTGCAACCAGCTATAGACTGTAGACTCTACAGTCTTTGTGTGGTATTTGATAATTGATAAGGCTATGCAATGCTAATGAAAAGCAGGATACAATTGCTATTGTACATAGCTTAATACTAGAAATATCAAGCGTTAACAAGTGTCGTGAAAGTCTAAAAATTTTAACATTTTCATTTTTCTTCTTATTAATTGCTATCTTGTAACGTGGTGCAATGTAGGAAGAAGAAGAAAACAAAGCACTCGGTTTGTCGTGGGTACAACCCGGTTCGTTGCAACCATTCTCTAAACCTGAAGCAAGATAATAAGTAACTCTAGTAGCGCACAGTAAATATAATAACGAAACTACGTACGTCCTTAAGAAATAAGAGAATTGTAAATTTCTATACAGGGGATAAATTTTAATGTATTTTTATATTAGTAAAAAGTGATAATTATTTTGTATTTATTTTGATTTTCAATGTTTATATATGAAATTGTTATATTTACCATTTATAATACTCTTATATTTAAGTAAAGTAGAAATACAATGGTTGTTTTTATTATTGATTGTAATTTGAACATTTCTTAAAATAAAAAAATGAAGGAAATAAAGTAACAAATTATAATCACACAAGCTTGTTATTGCTGCTAAATATTTCAGTAGGTAAAAAGAGTTTTCGTAGTTCTAATATTGTTTCACGATTGCTAATGTTTTTAAACTTTATCACAAGAAATGATGCTAATAGTTGTATTATTGAAAATTTTTTGCTATTCTAAATGTTACTTTTTGGTACGTACTTTTTATGGAATTCGTTGTCACGCATATTGGGTTTCAAACGTGTGTGAGAGGTATATGTTCGTCGGGAGAAATGTACATTTCCCGATAAATATAAAGTGCGGTAGAATATATTGCGATTAATGGTGTCAGAGTGTTAAATGTTGTTTTTACACTCTTCCATTTCTTTTCAACATATCCCGAATATAATCGTTTATTGCATTTTAAGATTATGAGCTACGATTTTAACCTTTAATGACGGACGTACAATTGTAGGTAATCGTTATTTCCATGTTCAATAAATCTGCACGCTTTTCTTTTAGAAATAAACGATACCATACGAAATTTGAAATAAATATAGAAAATAATTGCCAGTATTGCGAAGACTAGTAAAGTAATTTTAAATGATTTGTTATTTATACTAGAAGAATTCGGTTACATATTTGAAGGTTAAGGACACACCGACTTTGTATATGATTCATCAGGAAGATTGCATTAAATTCGTATATTTACTGCATAAAATTTGTATATAACGTAAAATATAAAAAACGTGAATCAATGTATGAATCATTTACAACATATTAAAGGATTTTAACAGTGACTTGTATTTTATTTATCATTAATAAAGTCATATTGACATATTGAACATAACATTGTGCGATATTAATTGTAAATACATATTTCATGCAGCTGTTTTAGATAATACAAGAAATATCAGTATGCAGACAATAAAATGTGTCGTAGTAGGAGACGGAGCTGTGGGTAAAACATGTCTCTTAATTTCGTATACAACCAACAAATTTCCATCTGAATACGTGCCTACAGTATTTGACAACTATGCGGTCACTGTAATGATCGGTGGTGATCCGTATACATTGGGATTATTCGACACTGCTGGTAAATACCTAATAATGTTTATGCATTTCAACGAGCATAAAATGCAAAATATTAATAAATATCATTTTTTTGTTACAGGTCAGGAGGATTACGATAGACTGAGACCTCTAAGTTATCCACAAACAGATGTATTTCTCGTTTGCTTTTCTGTAGTATCGCCATCATCTTTTGAAAATGTTAAAGAGAAGGTTATATTTAATTGAATTTTGGAACATGTAGTATTGATACCTTGGAATAATTACGGAAGTAAAGTTTATTCTACAAGAAAGAAGGGAAATATGGATTATACTTATGTTTTATTTTAGTGGGTACCTGAAATAACGCATCACTGTCCAAGAACTCCGTTTTTGTTGGTCGGTACACAGATTGATTTGAGAGATGATGTTGCCACTATTGAAAAATTGGCAAAAAATAAGCAAAAACCGATATCAGCGGAGCAAGGAGAAAAGCTTGCCAAAGAATTAAAAGCGGTAAAATATGTAGAATGTAGTGCACTCACGCAGGTAATTATATCTATTGAAAGAAATCGCACGCAGATTTTTTTGACATTACAGTTTTTCGATAATAACGCAGAGTTTTAAATGTTGCAGAAAGGTTTGAAAAATGTATTCGACGAAGCCATTTTAGCTGCGTTAGAACCACCAGAACCAGTAAAGAAGAGAAAGTGTACGCTCTTGTAAAGGAAATGTCAGTTTTGAAAAAGATACGTATAAAGAAGGGAAACGAAGATATACGTAACAATAACGAGCGGCAAATTTCATGCGTAGTATAAAGCACCGTTAGAAGATTCGAAACTGTGCGTATACGGTTCCTTTTCGAAAAAGAAATATTAATCTTTTAAAATAAATTAACAGCCGCTAATATCACAGCGCGACAATTTCACTCGAATTTTTTTGTAATTATCGTATTATAACGTCGACCACATTCCACGCAACGTGAGATTTTGATCAAAAATTTTGATTGGCTCCACGAGAATTTTGAATTTAATAAAATTAAGTTTACTTTGTAATATACATTGCACAAAGATTTTTCGATTATTTAAGCTTTGCTTTAAAAATTTCTAAGAATCGTAAATATCGTTCTATTAACTTTCTTCGAAAGATCTGTGTCGTTAAAGACTTTTTTTTTTTTTT